TTCAATTATTATTGGTTTAGTACAAGTTTCCTAGTCAAGCTGTAACCCAAACACGTGGCGCAGTGGTAAGAGCATCTGCTTATGCTAAATGACAGCTCGAAAATAAGTTTTTGCATTATATTAGAGTGGAGGGCGCGCATATAGATCACGATTCAAATTTCGCGCCAATGACGTCATCAAACTTTCGACCAATCAGAAGGCATCATTTGAATATTTGGTCACGTGACCTATCAAAGGAAAGGTCTGGACGAGGAGAGGTCAGCCCGGGGGGTGGTCTGGGGTCATCGAATGCAAAATCAAAAAGTTACTCAAAAGGTATCGTGTGACATATTAAATGGAAGGTCTCGTCGATGAGTAGAGGTAAGACTGGGGGTGGACCAGATTCATGAAATTGAAAATAAAAATAATTACCCAAATTGTATCATGTAATACATCAAATGGATTTCCTCTAAGAGTAGAGTGAGGTCTGGGGTAGTCAAGTCCCCACCCCTCAACCTTTTGTTCCAGCAATGATTAAATATCACCTCATTGATAAATTAACAATTGTAAATAATAGAACCGCACATAATACATAAAGGGGATTCTTGTAGCCCTTACTGGGAGTTTTCCGTGACGTAAACAGGGAAACTACCTTCGTCTTCGTACACAAAGGTGACTACAGATTCTATTGAAAATTCATTTGAATAGAGATTTACTCGACCGAAATACTACAAGGTAGAGACATGTCTACGTCGACCTTGCAACGGAGGTATTCAGGTAGAAACATGTCTCAATGAAGTTGGGCATTTAAATGCCTGCATTTAATTCAGTTAAAAGAAGGATACACCATAGGTTTATTTAAAGATTTATTTAGAGAGAGATTCATTCAATTGAAAAAAAAATTACAGGTAAGAACATGTATATATATATCTACACACCGTGACCAATTATAGCATGTTGAATGAAACATGTCTCAATGCATTTAAATGTCTGGTGTATTCACACACCGTAAATTGAAAGTCCATTATCCCCAACCAATTGTAACGATACAAGTACAACCATGCGTGAAATTACATTGGTAAGAAAGGAAAGTGGAGTACAGTTGTGAAATTTTGTTATTTAAGCCCTCTCTTTATAATTACACCAAAATAAAGCGAATGTGATTAATTAAATGTACCCGATGTTTTTCCTTTACCCTTGAATGGTGAATTAATCATTTATCTTTAGAAATACATGTCTCAACACGTACAGTCCATTTTGATCTTTCATCCGTCTTAAAGTACAATTCCTAGTTTTTTTTATAAGGGTATTATATAGCTAATCGCCCAAGTGAGACGGTCGTAAGGTTCGGCGCGACCTAGATTTTTACAGGGGGGAAAATACAATAGCTAATCTTTCAATAGAGATACAGATGGCCGATTTTTATAAAAGAAACGACGTCAAAAGATGATAAAGAATAAAACTGTTGATGGAGACAATCAGAAAGGGTTCACGAAAGGTTAAAATGTATTGAATGAGTGATTTTATGTGTGCAATGACCAGGATAGCCAATAAAATGAGCTCAATTGATATGTTTCTATGGAAACAAAATATTATTTTCGGTATTCATGACATGTTACAATAGAGGGGTCCAGAACAGGAGGAATTAAAATTAATTAATACTTTTAGTGATCATAAAGTAACCAATCGTATCACTTGTTCACTTGTTTTTTTGTTTGTTTGTTTCCATGACAACTTTAGAATAATATATAAAAGGGAATCTAGATACTGGTGCGTCATAAATCAAACAGCACCCTAACGAGTAACACTGGGAAATTGACTCGGTTGCTATTTAATTCTTTGGAATTTAATTTCTTTCTAAGGTAAGAAATTTATACACATACTTTCGACAAATATAAAATTGGAAAAGATAACGATTCTTCATTTTACACTTAATTTGGTGAAATATGAAAGATATAAACTTTTTTATTTATTTTGTTGTATAGTATCATGACTCGATAGTGTTTACAAAATCTCGGTAGAGTAAGCAGGGAATTTACTACAAATCTCGTTCCCACGTGACCGTTTAAAATTTTTAAACGGTCACGTGGGAACGAGATTTGTAGTAAATTCCCTGCTATCAGAATTTTTAAAAGTGCCATTATATGTATCGTAAAATTCCGCCACCTTGTTTTAGAGAGAAAATCTGTATTTACTTACGATGATTTAGAAATAAATTTCAAATAAAAACGAATCTATTATTATTGTATAGTACTTAATGACAAACCTTAAAAACAGGTACAACTGATACAGTTTACATAAAGATATTTGTTTATTATAGAATATCGAAGGTTACAGATGTGACGTTTGCGGGAAAAGGTTTGCAAGGGAGGATAATCTTGCACAGCACAGAAAAAAGCACGATCTGTATCAATGTCCAGATTGTCCTCAAGCCTTTACAACAGAAAATAATTTAGAATTACATCGCTATCACCGTCATGGTCAATCTGGAAGAGGGAAAAAGAGAACAAACGAATCTCCTCAACCCGGACCTTCAACGAAAAGACGAATTACCAAGATGGATGACCCTACAGAAAACTACAGAGTTACTCTTCTTGGTGAAAAAAAAAATGCGGAAATTTAACACCACGGCAAACAGATATCGAGTGAACTTCCAAGACCTGGAAATCAGGAATCTGCCTAATATTCTACAAAGTCTGCGTCGCCTCTTTTCCTCAGTGATAAAAGATTTGACAGGTATAGATATCATCAATGCCCATGGATGTTGCACTGTTAAAATATTTTTTTTTACACATCTTTCATAAGGTGGACAATAAAACATGCCTTCTCATGCAACATTTGTTATAAATGTCATATATCAGATCTTCAACCATTTAAATAAAATTAGGTAAAATTTCTAGCAATTGTTTTTAAAACAGGGTTCATGGACTCCAGAGACTTAATTCGCTTAACTGTCCAGAGCTGGATTACCCCATAAGTCTACCCTTCATGCGGGTTGAGCAGCTATCGGTGGATCGTCTTCTCACCGAAATAGAACGTGTGCTGCAGTCGCAGCACAGTTAAGGTTACAAAAAAGAGGCGGAGCTAATTTGTACGGGAAAACTTGACTAGGACATCATACACAATATACGTCATACAACATTTCTTTAAAATACCACAAAATGGGTTTATCTGCTAATTTAACCAGTAAGAAAACATCAAACTACGTAAAAACTTACTACAGCGTGTTGTTTTGTCGTTAATTAAATCCCACGTAACAAGTTATAAACAAATCACTGATCGCAATACACTTGTCAATATGACGTCATTTCTTACAACGTGACGTAGTTTGTACGCAGTGAGAGACAGATCAAGTAAAATTTTCTCAACAAAATATGTATTCTCTAATTAAATAAAATATTATATACAGATATTCTATGGGCCACTAACTTGAATTTAATGTCTTCTTTGCTATTTTATTAATGTATTTTCTGTACATTACGTATTTAAATGACACTGCCGTATATTTGTATGCAAGTACATCGAAGGGTAATGTGGGGGGTCTTAATAAATCGATCTAGTGCAAGGGCAACACTCTATGGATCAAAGTAAGCTTTTACATTTCAACTATAGAAGTATTAAGGTATCTGAAAAGTGCTGCGATCCTGATGAAATCTTAAAAACAATTTAATTATATCAATATTTCATGCCGCTGACCAGGAAAAAATATAGCATTCGGTCATACAAGTATAATTTTAACAATGAAATTGCAGAACTTAGACAGGATCGCAGCACTTTTTAAAAACTACAATACGTGTTGAAAATATTTATATACTAAACTTGGAAATTTAACTTGGTTATGCCCTTGCACTAGTGATATTTATATGTAACATCAATACTTCAAGTCATTGTGCTGAAATCGCGTGACTGCCGCATCACGTGACTAGTCTAAATATAAAATATAATCGTCCTCGATATGCAGTTATTAATCATAATTACAATTATCCGATTTAAATAATGTACTAAAAATAATCGCCATCCCGATTACGAATAAATTTTTAAATGCAAAATTTAGTCGATGTTTCCATTGCGCACCTTAACTGTACTGCGGTCTTATGAGGAATTTGTCGTTGATCAGTCATTAGAGATTGAAGTGATCCACGTCAAACTGCCCTCTGGAAAAGGACATAAAAAGAAATGCTACGTTGATCTTGAAAAGTCGCTGAAAGAAAAGAGAAGCTTCATCAAGATTATCAACAGAGACCATTTATGTTGTGCTAGAGCCATTGTGACGGCCAAAGCTAGAATTGACAAACATCCAAAATGGAATTCGATACGAACAGGTTTGACCTCATGTAATGCATTCTATTCATTCGAAGAGAAAAGAGATATATCATATTCCATATGTTATGTTTTTTCTGACATGTCTGACTATTTACCACTTGTTCATAAAATGAAATGTGTATCCTGAAATGTCTTCTCCTATGCATCAGGTAAAAGTATACAAAGAACCCTGGCCGAAGAATTACACAAAGTTGCCAATGTGCCTTTACGGCAGTGCAATTTAGAGGACGTGAAGACCTTTCAGTCGGTGTTACCTGGATACCAGATCCACGTTCTTTCTAAAGATTGCTTTAACGCCATCGTGTACCAAGGACCTGAAGCCGATAAAAAGATCTACTTGTATCACCACAACAATCATTATGATGTGATCACTACGATGTCGGGGTTCATGAATAAAAATTTTTTTCTGCCAGAAATGCCAAAAAGGATATGAACACAAAGAAAAGCATTTCTGCAATGAACCATGTCATCTATGCCACAAATGCCATGACGACCAATCAGAAGACTGGCAGTATTGTTCCACGTGCAATCGATATTTCAAAAACACGACCTGTTTCCAGCGACACGTCGAACTGACGTCCCAAGGTAATTCCACGTGTCATACGTACTATCGTTGCCGTCAGTGTTCTACCACAGTGAACAGAAACAAATCGAGACAACCGCACGTGTGTGGAAACAAATACTGTGACATTTGCAAAATGTTTATGTCCGAAGATCATGTGTGTTACATGAAGACCACAGAAGAGGAAGAAGAAACCAAGCTGTTGAAAAGAAAACAGAAGGTAACGGTCGATGAAGACGACGAACAACTCACGCAATGGATATTTTTCGATTTTGAATGCACACAGGATGACATGATCCAGTGTGATGAGGGTTATTTTCCCCAGATATCCATCAAATGTGGAAATTGTCATCGCAAAAACTGTCACTCAAATCCGTGCGAACAGGGCTTTGTTCCGAGGAAAATCACTTCTTGCAAAAATTGCAACCATTCGTCGTGTGGTTCATATCGACACCTGCCCAATTTATGTGTGGTTCATAAGGTGTGCGAAGAATGCATTGACGAAGACGAGATCAACGAGCATAGCTACTGTTCATTATGCCATTACAAGCAACGCATTTTCAATGGCCCAAACACACGTGACGATTTCTGTAAATGGCTTTTCTCGGACGAAAACGAAGGAGCCAAAGTCTTCTGTCATAACTTTCGAGGGTACGATAGCTATCCCATCGTCAGTTACTTGTACGAGAACGCCATCTTGCCGGAGGTGATCATGAATGGGTCCAAATTCATGAGCATCGAGATACCTCATCTCAAAATGAAATTCCTGGATTCCATGAATTTCATACCCATGGCTCTCTCAAAGATGCCAAAGGCGTTTGATATACCTGAAGTCGCCAAGGGCTATTTTCCACATCTATACAATCGAAAAGAAAATCAGAGGGCTATCATGAATCACCTACCAGACGTACAGTTTTATAATGCAGATGGTATGATGCCTGATGATCGCACCAAGTTTCTCCAATGGTACGAAGAACATCAACACGATAGTTTTGATTTTCAGAAAGAAATAATAAAATATTGCCAGTCTGATGTCGATATTCTCAGGCGAGGGTGTCTCAAATTCCGCGACATCTTCATGGACATGACGTCACGAGATGATCGGGACGGCGTTGACCCTTTCGAACGCTGCATCACCATTGCCTCGGCTTGTAATCTGGTATTTCGCAGTCTCTTTTTGGAAAGAGAGTCTATCGGCATTATACCACCCCAAGGGTATCGTCCGAAAGACAAACAATCCTTCAGGGCCATGCAGTGGATAAAATATCATGCTCATCAAACAGGCGTAGAGATCCAGCATGCAGGCAACATGGGAGAAAAAGTGATTGGACCATACAGAGTCGATGGATACTATGAAATAGGGGATCAGAAAGTAGTAATGGAATTCCATGGTGATTATTGGCACGGTAACCCCAAATGTTATTCTGCCAACACCCTCAATAAAGTTGTGGGAATGACCATGGGAGACCTCTATCAGAGAACCTTGGAAAAGAGAAGTTACTTGGAATCTTTGGGATATACTTACCTGCAGATGTGGGAGTCTGATTTTGATCGGGCCGTAGAGTCCACAGACAAAATGAAGTCTTTTATAGAACACCTAGAGTTAACCTCGCCCTTACAACCTAGAGATGCATTTTTCGGCGGAAGAACCGAAGCCTTTAAACTGCATGCCAAGGCAGATGAAGACACCGATATCAAATATTTTGATGTGACTTCACTCTATCCCTTCATCAATAAAACGGGCAAGATTCCATTGGGACGCCCCCAGATCGTGACTGAAAATTTTGATCTTCTTCAAAACTACGAAGGACTCGTCAAATGCCGCATCCTTCCCCCAAAACATCTATACATGCCAGTTCTTCCATCGAAAATCAACAATAAGCTCCTGTTTGGCCTCTGTCGAACGTGCATGGAGAAACACAGACAGACCTGTGAGCACACCGATCGGGAAAGAATGATTACTGGAACCTGGGTCACCGACGAGGTCAAAAAAGCCGTAGAAATGGGTTACATAATAGACAAGATTTTCGAAGTGTGGCATTTCGATCGCATATCACAGTACGATCCACAAGCAAAATCGGGCGGAGCATTCACCGACTACGTCAATACATTTCTCAAAATGAAGCAAGAGGCATCCGGTTGGCCAAAATGGTGTCAAACGGAAGAAGACAGACACAAGTACATAGAGGAATACCACCAAAGAGAAGGAATTCGTCTCGAATATCATAACATCGTATCGAACCCAGGTCTCAGAGCGCTGGCAAAACTTATGCTCAATAGTTTTTGGGGTAAATTTGGTCAGCGAGAAAACATGCCCAAAACAACGTACGTGACAGATCCCTGCGAATATTTCGATATGTTGACTAGCAATTACCAACAGGTCAAAGACGTCAGCTATGTGTCCGAAGAGATGGTACGACTCCAGTGGGTCTTAGACGACGATTTTGTGGAGACCAGTGGTCGAACCAACGTCGTCATCGCAGCGTACACTACGGCCCAGGCCCGTCTAAAATTATACTCCTATCTGGAAAAATTAGGCGATCGGACTCTATATGCTGACAGGGATTCGGTCATCTTCACCGCACGGGCTGGGGAATGGTCGCCGCCTCTGGGTGATTACTTGGGGGATATGACAGACGAGACCCCCGGTAAGAAAATCCTTTCCTTTGTCACCGGCGGACCGAAAAATTATGCGTATACCGCCCAAGACCAAGATGGGAAGATAAGTACCTGTTACAAAGTTAAAGGTATCACACTGAATTACAAGAACAGTTTGGATATCAACTTTGATACCATCAGAAATATGATCACTTCCAGCGAAGCGTCTGTCGTCACGGTCCGGAACGATTACAAAATTGCCCGAGATTCCAAAACCACAGAAATCATCACCAGAGAGGAAAATAAAGACTAAAAACTTGTTTTTGACAAAAGAGTCCTGCAAAGTGGATTGATATCGGTACCATACGGATATTTGAATGTATCATAGAGATTTTACTTTGTACTTAGAAACTGTAATTTGTGTATGTTATGATTTCTTGTATCGAACAATGCTATTATGATAGTCCTTTTATTTCGATGTAATGGTAATATACTGGTATATTTGAATGTGTCATAGAGAGCTTACTTTGTACTCAGAAACTGTAATTTATGATGTTAAGATTTTTTGTATTGAACAAATTATTATGATAGTTCTTTTATCTCGATGTATTGGTAATGCACAGTTATTTTAACTTGCTTTGTACTCAAAAACTGCAATGTGAGTATGTTATGATTTATTGTATTGTAAAATGCTATGGTGAGAGTCTTTCTTTCTCGATGTATTGGTAATATACAGGTATATTTGGATGTATCACAGATAACTTAATTTGTACTCAGAAACTGTAATGTGAGTATCTTATGATCTCTTGTATCAAAGGATGCTATTATATCCTTCTATCTCGATGTATTGGTAACACACAGTTATGTATTTTTGATGTAGATTACATGTACAATTTTTTAAATTAAAATGATGAAAACTTTTTTATGTTTTTTTTAATGAGAAGTATCTTTGGGTAGGAAAAAAAGTGAAAATAGTGAACCATATCATGGCTTTTTATAGAGTCTTCGTCGACCGGTCACGGTAGGCTAGTGGTAGAGCGTTCGCTTCGTGATCGGGAGGCCCGGGTTCGATTCTCGATCTCGGCGCCGCGTCATACCTTGACGTTAAACATAGGTAGTGACTGTTCCTTCGCCAAGTGCTCGGCACTAGATGTGAAAGTCACGGGTCTTTCGGATATGACTTTAAAAATGTAGGTCCCGTGTCACGGTGGGCGTTGGCACGATAAAGAACCCTCACTGCTCAATGGCACTGAGTGCCGAGTATAGGTCTAACTTTAAAGCCCTTTATCAGCAGACAATAAAAAATTATCGAAAGGGGGGTTAAACAGTATAGAATGAATCAATCGTTCACTTCCTGGGACAACAAGAACTAAACAAAAGACAAAGACATAGGCTCCCGGGGGCCCCGCCTCGGACCTTTGGGCTTCCGGATCCATACGTTTCCGGATCCCTGATATCCGGAGCTCATAAGTTTCCGGTGACCTTTCATTCCGGAATCCCAAGTTACCGGAAACGTTGATCTGGTTGTAATGCACAGTGTAATGAGCCAATCACCGACGATATCTCGTCTATAAAAGGGGATTTACCGTTCATGTATGTCATTAAGCGAAAGGACTCCAAAGGATCAACATGTATACTTGCCAACATTGCTCAAAGGCTTACGTCTGGCCTCACGACCTGATTCGTCATGTTAAACACAAACACACGGAATGGCAACAACAACAACAGCAGCAGCAGCAGCAACAACAACAGCAGCAGCAACAACAGCAGCAGCAGCAACAACAACAGCAACAACAGCAGCAGCAGCAGCAACAACAACAGCAGCAGCAACAACAGCAGCAGCAGCAACAACAACAAAAGGAGTTTATGTTTCAACATCCTTTTACGGCTAATGTATCGGGACCCACCTCCTCGGGAAAGATTATTTCGTAAAAACATTGTTGCAACATTGTATGAGCAAGATTTCCCCTCCACCAGAGAGAATCTTGTGGCTCTATAAGCGATGGCAACCCCTGTATGACATCATCAAAGCCACGGTGAATCCCTCGGTCGAATTTATACAAGGTATTCCATTAGACCTGGAGCAAGATTCTTTCGTTCACCCCGGAACGAGGAATCTCGTCATTTTAGACGATCTCATGTCGACGGCGGCCAAAGATTCTAGAGTCAACGAGTTGTTTACGGAGGGAAGTCATCACAGAAATCTATCGGTCGTGGCTATCAATCAAAATCTGTACTATAACAAAGATCCCACCCAAAGACGAAATTGCCACTACCTGGTCCTGTTTAACAATCCTGTGGACAGACAGCAAGTCATGACCTTGGCTCGACAGATGTATCCCGAAAATCCTCAACACCTGCTGAGATATTTTAAAGACGCTACTTCCAAGCCTTATGGATACCTGTTGGTGGATTTGAAGCCCACTACACCCGAAAATCTGCGCATGCGCACTGATGTCTTGAATCCTATAAAACAGCACGAAGCAGAGAATTCTCCTCATTCTCCAAAAGCTATTCCTACCGAGCGGACGTACCACCGACCGGTTCCTTCAACCTTCCAATCCATTGATGTCTTGAATCCTATTAAACAGCCGGGAGCAGAGAATTTCCCTCATTCTCTGATTGATATTCCAACCGATCGGACGTACCACGCATCAGTTCCTTCAACGGACCAATCCATTGGGTCGGATTTTCAACACGTCATACTTTCAGAAGATATGCCTTCCTGTGACGATTGTGGTCTGGTCTTTGAAGACGTCCACGACCTTCAAAGACATGTGAAAAGATGGTGTCCCGAAAACGGACAAAGGAAAGATTATATTGCCCCCATGGAGATGGATGAGGCAAATGCCTCCCCTTTCAAACCAGAGAAGGAAAATGATGACGAACACGAAGTCTTTAACTTTCTCATGGAAAGGGCAAAAGAAGACAACGAAAAACTATGGGACCTGAAATATGATAAATACATAAAGGAAGGTCTATCAAGAGAAGACGCCAGAGTTCAAACGGAGGAAAAAATGAACTCAAAAGGCCTGAAGATATTCTCAGAAAAGTATGGACAACTCATCCTGTACATCCTACAGTTACAAAACGGATCCATTCACACCAAGGTCATGGATGATGTTAAAGATTTCCTGTCCGAAGGCTATGACGAACGCAGAGCGATCAGAATGGCTTTGAATAAGAATCGTCCTGTCCTTGAAGAAATGTGGGATCCTGAGAGTGATATGGAGATCGACGATGCTTCCAAAAGCGAAGACCAAGAGAGAGAGGATGACGATAGCGAGATGGAAGAAGATAGTGATGAATCCTAAGAAGTCTAAATAACATTTTAAGTCTTTGTCCATTTATTGTTTGAAAAATGAACTATCGAATGTATATTGTTGCATTTACTTGAATAAACAGTGAAAAAAGCAGTATTGTTATTTATGTCATCATAAGTCACGTGATTAGGTATTATAAAAGGGGTTAGGGTACATTGAAGCTTCATTTTAACGTTGTCCATGCCAGAAGAAACATGTCTTGGGAGGATTATCTCAAGCAGGTGTATTACGATCCATCCACAGCTGGTAGTTTTACCGGAGTGGATAAATTATTCAGATACGTTCAAAAAGAGGGAAAATATGATATCAGCAAGTATAAGGTACGCAAATAATTACAGAGACAAGAACCCTACAGTCTTCAGCGACCCGTGAGACGACATTATCGTCGCAATCAGGTCGTCGTCGCTGGCCTTGATGATCAATGGGACGCTGATCTGATGGACATGACCAAATTCAGCAAAGAAAATGAGGGTGTGCAGTTCGTACTCTTGGTCATCGATACCTTCTCCAAGTACCTGTGGATGCGACCTTTAAAGGATAAGAAAGGGCCAATGACAGCCCGGGCGTTCGAAGACGTATTGCGTGAGGGGAGGCAACCTACGAAGCTTCGCACAGACAAAGGACAAGAATTCCGATCAAAAGCCTTCAATAATGTATTAAAGGATCACAACATCGAACATTTTTATTCTCAAAACACCGAAGTGAAAGCCAACTATGCAGAGAGAGCCATCAAGACGATTAAAAATAAGATGTATCGTTACATGACATTCAAACAATCCGAACGATACATTGATCGTCTTCAGGAATTCGCTCGGAGTTACAACAAGACGTACCACCGCACCATTGACACCGAACCTGAACTGGTTAGACCAAACAACGAAGAAAAAGTGCGCGTATCAACATTCCTGTCTCGAGAGGAGGTACCACGCAAGCAATCAAAACGGCCCTACAAGTACAAAGTGGGTGATAAAGTACGCATTTCGAAAATATCATCCATTTTTGACAGGGAATACGATCAAAAGTGGTCTGGTGAAATTTTCATCGTGTTTCGACGTTTCCTGAGGAACGGCATTCCAGTGTACAAACTCAAGGACTACAATGACGAAGCCATTACGGGGACATTCTATCAACCGGAACTCCAAAAAGTGGATGTTAGAGACGAGGATACGTTTAAGATTGAAAAGATCCTCAAGACCCGTGGAAGAGGACCAAACAAGCAATATTTTGTAAAATGGCTGCATTGGCCAAAGAAGTTTAATTCTTGGATAAATGCTGATGATATGGCTGCATAATTTAGTGCAATTATCATTGCTTACCTTGAAATTATATGTATTCAGACTTTTGTCGAAAATACTGCTCTCCATGTCTTGCAATAAAATATGAACAAAAACAATGTGTTGTTTTGATCATCCCCCGACTGATCTTTACTCGCCGACACCTTCAATTTGATATGTATTTTTAATTTGCACTTGATGAGCCCGATAGACCCCCTGGGCTGAACATTACTCGTCAAGACCTTCCATTTGATAGGTCACAATAAACCCTTTGAGTTACCTTTTGATTTTGCACTCGGTGACCCCAGAACACCCCCGGGCTGAACTGTACTTGTCGAGACCTTCCATTTGATATGTCAGACGATACCCATTGGGTAACTTTTTATTTTGCACTTGATGACCCCTGACCACGCCCGGGCTGAACTTTACGCGTTGAGACCTTCTATTTGATATGTCACACGATACCCTTTGGATAATTTTTGATTTTGCACTTAATGACCCCGGACCATCCCCGGATGACCTCTCCTCGTCAAGTCCTTCCATTTGATATATCAGACGATACCTTTTGAGTAGCTTTGATTTTGCACTTAATGACCCCGGACTACCCCCGGGATGACCTCTTCTCGTCCAGACCTTTCCTTTGATAGGTCACGTGACCAAATATTCAAATGATGCCTTCTGATTGGTCGAAAGTTTGATGACGTCATTGGCGCGAA